GGTTTTCCTGTCACATCTTTGCTTGTGTATTTTAGACATCTGCAGCTCTATTACTTACCATAGATGTCTTGAAAAAATACATTTACTTGTGTTTTACCTTTACTTAGTTAAAATATGATAAAAGGTACTTAGATGACAATGTCGCTTACATAAGGCTCTTGTGAGTATAATTGAATTGTACTGTGCGTTCTTCTGAGTGTCCAAGGAATAGCAGTGTCCCTTTTCAGCTATATGAGTAAGGTGGACAGATGACTTCACACAGTGAGATTAGTCTTTTGATGACTGGTTAACTAATGTGCCTCTTTGGTGGGCAGCATGAAACTGAGGTGCATTTGAGGGCTGTATAACACCAGATCACTACAAGAGTGTGCCTGTGTTTGACAGTTGTCATTGGTTTTGGACATTGTTTTTATGTGAAAAGCAATGTAAGGAATTCTGTAATAACCTCTGAGGACTTGGTGGGGGCAGAAGCTGACTGGTTCAGAACAGACATGTTTCAACTCACAGTGGGTTCATAATTCAGAGGCTCTGATCCGGGTCTTTGTCTCGGCATGGCATAGGTCTCATTTGCAGGCAGTGTGTTCTCTTGTTATCTACAGATGGCATCGTGTTGCAAGCACAAGGGTATCACCCACAGTGTGCAAGCTTTTCCTGTTGCTGCCCCTTATGTCTCTTCCCATATCTGGGCCTGCTTTTCCCTTAGCTTTCTGTGGTATGATGCCAGGGAAGATGGATGTACATCTTCTGAAAGAGGTCAGTGAAAGAGCTCTGTCACATGAACCCACATGAGAATCCTTGGGTGTTACATGCGGGGCAGCTGTCTCAAACAGCAAGTTGCAGTCTTACATTGCAGACATTGCAAAGGTCCCTCACACAGCAGTTTCCTGGCTTCCTTTGCCATGGAGTTTGTTGTCTCTGGTAAAGATGAGCTTCAAGGCCAGGGAAACAAGTGCTTTTTGGTAAAACCTTGTCATCCTCCTAGAACTCTGCAGTGACCTGCAGCAGCTGTAGGAAGTGGAGTCTTTGCTGCCCTTCTTGCTGCCTTCCAGTTTGAACCGCTGTAAGCAAGGAAGTTATCAAGGCCATTGATAACTAGCCTTCACGGATGTCTCGTGCACCATGAACAGCCCCATAGGTCCTGTGCAGTCTGGTTCTCCTTGCTGTGCATTTTCTTGTGGAAGTGACCTTTCCTCTGATGTAGCAGTGACTTTGATCCTCATTGTAGGTCCTCCTCATGAACTATACTTGGTTCCATACTTGGAAACTGCTGCCTGTTTTCATTACTTCAATGTCTTCTGCACCAGAACAGAGCAGGTAACAGGCATTGCCTTTGCCACTGTGGACTCTGGACATCTCAGGACAGTCCCCTGAGACAGGACCACCATCATATGTATCTATTCTGAGTCATACATGCCCACAGTGTGCCCACTAAAATCACTTATAAAACATAAAATGCATAGCCTCTGAATTTTTGGCAATCGTGGAGCAGCTGAAAAGAACCCAATTCCTAAAATCCTGAAAATACAAAATACACTGTGATATGTTCTCCTAGGCAGTGCAGAACCCATCCCCACTTCCTCTAATGGGTGCAAATCACTTTCCACCACCACAAAGCATTGAACTTTTCATCATTCAAAGTGTCTGTAATCACTGTTTTGCTATCTCTTGACTGTTAACCATCTATTATACTTAACCCATCAAGTCTTCCTCAACCTAAATAAATAAGTTATTTCCCTGATACCTGAAAGCCTGTAAAAACCTCATTAGGCTTTGCCTCACATCTTCTAGGCTGCAATTTTCATGTATGGGAAATATCCCCCACTCAGTTTCTCTTCCTCTTCTGCCCATTCATTGATGAGAAAAGAGGATACTTAAGAGCAACTGCAAACAACTTATTTTGACTCTGTGGGCAGCACAGCAAATTTGGCCAATATACCTACAACCCTTTGTGTAAAGGTTATTGTGGTTCATGGCCAGCCACCTGAGTTTAGATCAGACAAGTAGCTGATGTGGCCAGAAACTGTCAGGCACTGTGCCTGCTTGGCACAGTATCTGTGGCTGCCCCAGTTGTGCATGTGTTGGAACCCCCTTGGTCAGGGGGAAATACACTGCACAAGGAGTGCCCTCAAACCCTTGAAGGAGAGGGATTTATGATATAGTTTTGTGCAGCTAGGATGACAGGCAGTTCTGGGTCCCTGTTGAGGATAACTGCAGGTAAGAGCTGGCATGGCTTTTGAAGGAGCTTGTAGTTCTACTTAAACTCCCCTGCCCCTGCAAATACAGGTCAAGCTTTTTTGTACTTTTCCTCACCCCAACAGCTGGTAAGGGATAAAGTCTGAACCAGCTGTTGGAAAAGGAGTAGTTCCTTGTGGCGGTGTGGTTCCTTGTGCCTTCTGTTCTTCTGTCCTGCGAGTGGGTTGTGTTGCAGTGGCTGGGATGCTCTCACGGAGGTGCTCCCTCTTGGTCTGTAGTTTCTGTGTCCTTCCAAGGGCTGGACTTGGGCACTTGGGGTTGCTGTTGCTAACACTGTTTCATCATAGAATTGTACAGGGGGAAAAATTTCTCAGGCATCAGTGGCCTGAGGAGAAAAACACTTTGGTGATTTACCTCCAAAATGACATCATAGAACAACTCAACCAAAACTTAATTGGGATGTTCATGGACCACAGTGTCACTGTAACAAGGCTGGATGGGAGGATATGTGGGGGCCAGAGAGGGCATGGGCTGAGGCTGCACTTCCTCATGACAGGACAGTGCTGCAGACCAGATGTGTGACAACGAAGGTATACTAATGACTCAAACCATATGCGAGGGAAGAACCTGTGTTGTGGTGGTTTAGCAGGTAATTGCCCTGCAGATTGAATGCCAAGACAATTAAATATTTTATGATGAATCTAGTTATTCAGTGGGTGAAATGAGTTGATGGCACTGCTTTGACAATGATAACATGTAGCTTGCTGTTTCTGGGGATGACAAAGGCTGGTGCAGTCACATATGGATGCCATTAAAGTCCACTGTTCCCTCTGCAAGGGCTATATTTTTAGAAATTAACACTACAGACAAGAGTCTTGCTCTCAGTCAGAATATCGTCAAACTGCAGAGCAGATTTTTTTCAGAAATAAAGTGTTTTCTGGCTGATGGAAACCAGACTAGGACACTTGCTGCTTAGGAAGCCTGCTGTCAGCATGCCTGTTTTTTCTGGAAAGAGGACTCGCTGATGTCCCTCTAGCATGTGGGCCCTTTACTTTTCTCTCAGCACAACTCAGTTCTTGCAACCAGCCCCAATTAATTTGGAAGAATCTTACTAACAATAATTCTACTTTTAAAAATGAAGATTTTTTTTTTTTTACCCATTTCAGTCAGCAACAAAATACTGTTGTCTTCATCAGAGCCAAGTTTTCACAGAATCATAGAATAATTTAGGTTGGAAAAGAACCTTCAGATCATTGGTCCAACAATTAATCCAGCACTGCCATCACTCTAAGCACCATATCTACATGTTTTTAAAATATCCACAGGAATGGTGGCGCTTCCCATGGCAGCCCATTCCAGTGCTTGACAACTCTTTTGATGAAGACTTTTTTTGTAATTTCCAGCCTAAACCTCTCCTGGCACATCTTGAGGCCATTTCCTCCTGTCCTTGAGGCCATTTCCTCTTGTCCTGTCCCTTGTTACTTGGGAGAAGAGACTCATCCCATCTGGCTACAGCCTCCTTTCAGGTGTTTTAGAGAGTCATAAGGTCCCCCTGAGATTCTTTTTCTCCAGGCTAAATAAAGCCAGTTCCCTCAGCCGCTCCACATAAGCTTTGTGCTCCAGACGTTCCCCAGCTCTGTTGCCCTGAACTCCCTCCAGCCCCTCAATATCCTCTCTGTAGTGAGTGGCCCAGAACTGATCCCAGGATTTGAGGCACAGCCTCACCAGTGCTGAGAACAGGGGGACAATCCCTGCCCTGGTCCTGCTGGCCACACCATTGCTGATCCAGGCCAGGATGCCATTGGCCTTCTTGGCCACCTGGGCACAGCTGGCTCATGCTCAGCTGCTGTTGACCAGCACCCTCAGGTCCTTTTTTCCTGGGCCACTTTCCAGCCACTCTTCCCCAGCCTGTAGCCCTGCATGGGGCTGTTGTGACCCAAGGGCAGGACCCAGCACTTGGCCTTACTGAACATCTTTCATTCACCCTAATTCATACACACACACCCGTTTAAACACTGCCTGATTTATGCACAGCATAAAATGGCATACACTGATGTGATTTGTACTGTTGTTTTTGTGCCCTCATACTAGTACACACATTATTATTTCTGTAGCTCCACGTAGCCTTATTCAGTCATTGGGATACCCGTGTGTTGGGGACTGCTAAGACAGCTAGAGAAAACTCAGATTCTACTCCTATATGCTTATAGTAAAATTTAGGTCAAAAACCAGCAGTTGAATGGGAAGGGAACAATATGAATGAATTCAGCAGAAAACCAAAAGTCTCCAGAAGTCCTTCAAGAGACCAGATAACATGTCTTGCCCTATATTTAATTAATATTCTTTCTGACTCTGCAAGGGTTAGGACTGTTAGAAATATCAGCAGGCTTAAGCACAGGACAGCATGCAATAGGGTAAAATACATGATGCTTGAAAATTCTGTTGTAATTGATACCTGGAAAATACATAATAATGAAAGTTAATGAAGATGCGGAATACAGTGAGCTGGTCTTAATTAAAATGCATTTTATTAATATTGTTAATATTAATGACAGTAATAACAATAAAAATGACAATAAACTGACAATATTAATATTGTCAGTTTACATTGTCTGTGAAATGAAGTGGAATCAGTTTTTCTTTTCCCTACAAACTGAAGTTCTTCCTTTTTCAGATTTCTGTAGATGTTTTATCCTTATTTCCTAAAGAACTAAAAGACTATGCATATGTTTATTAGCATGAGATATAAACATAAATAGTCCTAGTTCAGAAAACTGATAATTCTTTTTTTCATTTATTTTGTGTAGGTTTCCTTTGCCTCATCTGTAAACATGTCCACAGACCTGCTCTGTAAGTACATTTCCATCATCCCACAGTGATTTTTTTGTACCATATGTTTTTATCGGATTCCCAGATGTACTCATGATTGATGTCTTTTATCTGAAGTATAAAGTCTGCTTTTACATTTGTGTTTCCTCTGGGACATCTGTGAAACAATATTGCCATTATAATCAACGGGATTATTCTTGGAGTAAAGCATGACTTAATGTGAGTAAAATTGTAAAAATCTGGCCCAAGTATAAGAACAGACTGGTTCATTGAGATTCAAAATTGCAATTCTGTCTAAAATGTTTTATCTATCTTTGGCACAAATACCATCCCAGATTACTACAGGGTGATGTGCTCGGGTTTTTTTAATAATTTTGTGAATTTAACTCCTGTGCTTCCAAGGCATCATTATCCCAGTCACATCCAAATCTCCTGCCTTATCACTATTATTTATCCTTCTTCTTAACAGAGAAGTGCTACATCCTTATGTTTTGCTGTCATAACTACCACAAAAGGTTGTTGCTCACATTTTCCAGATACTTGCACTCTCTCACTCCAGCTTAAGTTATCTGAAGCATTAAGCACATTTTTTTTCTGCTTATTGATCTGATCTACATGTTTTCTTTTGGAGTCCTTCCAGTGTCTCAGCTGCCTTTGTTTTTTATCATTGCTTCCAAGGGCTGCCCAGCTGCACACTGTGCAATATAAGAGAGGGAAATTTCAGACATACATTTTATCATTCTTCAGTACTTCCTTAGAGGAATAAGGAAAACAGGATTGGGGTTTTTATCATTGATAACTGCAATCAGTTAATACCATCAGTGGCTTAATGGAAGATAGCAATTATATGTGGAGATCAAGTTATTTGTTAAAATGCATTTTTAAAATTTCTTCTCTGAAATGGCAATTTCAGGGCATGCTTAAATGCATTTAGATACAGAGAGAACTCTAAAATAAGGAATGTTATATGCCTGACTGTATTGTATTCAACAGGCAAAACTATTATCAGGAGTGAAATATTAAAGAAAGCAGAGGGCAGGGTGACTGCATAGAGGTCATGGTCAAGACTCCTGAGCTGTACTCAGATGTTTGTTTGTTTTAGCAGTTTTATGAGCTGGCAGTTTAATTTTTCTTTTTTTTCAGCTCAGCAACAGTGCCTTTCTCATGTTCCCCCTAATGATCAGGGAGCTAGAAGTTGTCACCTGAGTAGAGGCTGAAGGAGTTGGGTATGTTCTGCTCGAAGAAGAGAAGGATCAAGAGGGTCTAGTTATGGTCTTTTCAGTACAAAAAATGGTGGTTACGGAAAAGGAGTTGGAAGCAGCCTTTCCCCAGGCATGCAGTGTGACAGGACAGGAGGCAATGGCCACAAGTTGCTTTAGGGGAGGTGTTTGTGGTTGTAAGGGGCATTTTCAATGAGGGATCAATCAAACATTGGAATAGGCTGCCCAGGGAAGTGGTGGAGTTGCCCTCACTGGAAGTATTAGAGATATGGTTTGACAAGGCTCTAGGTAATGCTATTAAAGGGCCTGCATTCAGCAAGAGTCAGCTAGTTGATCATTACAGGTCTCCTGCAACTTCAGTAATTCCGCAGTTCTGTATTTCCTTGTGTTCTCAGCTGTCTTCTGTGCAGTGAGCTGTCATCCCTACCAGCTGTCCCTGGTCTTCTCAGTATTGTACTGCCTCTGCTATGCCAGGTGCTGTGATACTTTCTCATGTTAGTGGGATAGACATTGGTCTTCTCCCTTGGAGACGTGTCAGTGGCCCGGAGGCGGTGCCAGTGCTGAGGGAGCTCTCCAGGTTCCAGCTGGTGGGTGTTTGTGACAGCTGGGGAGTGCCTTGGTAAAACATCAGTGCACAGGAAAATGCTAAAGAATGACATGGCAAATCTGTACAAATGTGAATTTACTTCAGCTCTTTATGTCTGTCGGTATATAAATAAATATTTCAGAGCCAGCCTGTGAGCTCAGTACAAGCATATACTAACAAGCAACAAACACTAGGGTGTGTGTGAGGGATAATATCTACCACACTGTGTTCCACTTAAGGAATTTAGATATAACCAAACTGTTTGTTAGGGAAAAAAGATGGAGATGAGGAGCATTTAGACTTGTGGAGCTGCTTCCAGGTGGTCTCAGCACGATGTCTCTGGCTCTTACTGTTTAGCAGTAAATGTGTAGCCTAACCACCAGTCCTTAAGCTTGACCATGACATTGTCTTTTGGTAATGCTTGGTTCAGTACAAGGTCAAATTTTAGCATTAAAAATCTTTTTCCAGATTACAGTAATGAAGACAAGATGTATAATGAAAAAAAGTAAAAATTCTAACCAAACTGGAACAAACCCTTTAAATTCCTTAGAAAAAACCCCACTGCAGTCTAGGGCGAATTGCACAAAGAAAATATCATGGTTGCACAATACAAGGGCTGCTGCAGCTAGACCTCAAACTCCAGCAGCTAAGTCTTCAAGCTTGTGGAAATAAATCAGAAAAGCCAGCATTCCAGAGAAGTTTCAGCACAATGAATTTGAGGTAGCAAACATTTCTCTGGTTTAATATGGAGAAGCTAAGAAAAAAAAAAGACATTTATGAAAAGCCTGTCAGCTACTGAGGTTTGGCTGATCGGGGAAGCAGCAGACTTCCCTTGGAGCTTGTTTTTCTTTTTATCCTTGGATGAACTAGTGTGCAGTATATTATGCTGCCTGAATGTAGGGGTTTGTCACGGTTAGTACCGGGGGCTGTCCCAGGAATGTAGGAAGGCGATGGGCGTGAATGGAGCGTGCAGTGGTCGGTGGGGATAGAGCCCACTCTTCGGGAAACCTGTTGCTGCTCCTCTCAGCCCAGCCGGCCAAAGCCAGGCAGGAAAGGAGGTGGGTCTTTGATCTCTTTGTTGTAGCTGCTCCCTGGGAATTTGCTGAAATCAATGCCCTGTTTTCCTGAAGAAATGAATGGTTATGCCTAACTAGCTTTGTGAAGCGCTGGGGAATTCACTGCTTCTGTTTATTGACAGCTGAAAAGGAGCACATGGTCCTGAATGGGTCCTCCTGGGGAAACAAAACAGAGAGGAGTTAGACTTAGTTGAATACAGGGGCATTTGGAAAAGTCTGCCGAAGGAGGATGATATGGTTCCTTACACCCTGTACTAGCATAGCCTGACTTTTTACAAAATTTGCCATTTAAAATGAGGTAAGGTTTGTTTTGATTTCCCATATGAAGCGCAATCATGAAATGTTTGCAGTTCTGTTCTTGAGTGCAAAACCAATGTTTGAGTTGTATTCTGTCATGGGAAATACCTAAGTAACTCTTGTGCTGTTTCTAGCCTCTGTGTGAATTCGTTTGTTCTTTATCTAATGGTGATTAATGAATATGAAAAGTAATAGAAAAAGAGTGTTCAGGTCTTCCAGTCAGGTCCTGAACCTCAATCATTCATGTAATCTATGATATGCAATTTTTTTATATGTTTGAAAATCAGCTGAGTTGCATCAGATGATTTCTTAACTGGTACAGACTGCTGTGTCAATACTTATACACAAGGCAGTGACTAACAAGAGGGCCTGTCTGGCAGAAAATCTGAGAATCTCAAAATTCTTTGAAATGTGAGGATAAGTTTCCAAACCTCTGTCTCCATTCATGGACTTCAGGCAAGAGGTAGACTCACCACAATGCTTGCTGCTGGCTTTAGGTGTACATGGTATTTTGTAAAGACAGAAAAGAATAGCAAGAGAAGGATGATAAGGAAAAAGCAGTATTTTCATTGTGCGAGTCCAGAACAGTTTATTAGACCAAGGGCATTTGGTGTGTAATTCATATGTAAATTTTCTACTGAAAACAGGAGAACAAATTGCTGGAGTTTTTACATTAGTTTCTGTGGTGACTGAAGGAAAATATTTCTGAGCTGGTGCAGCTACAACTTTCAGGTGTGGCTCACTTACGATAGCAGGAAAACTGTTAAGTAATGTAATTTCTTCCTTTGTTATTTTAAGTGTAAGGGCAAGCTGAGAACACAGTAATTGCCACCATGCAGCCTTATTCTTACATGGCAGTAGGAATTGCTGTGTTTTTGTTGCAAATCCCATTAAAAGTGTCTGTGCATGGGTGCAGTAGTTTGAAAACTCTCAAGGAGTCCCCTCATTTTGAGAGAAGTGCTTGGGAAGTTTCATGTTTTTTTTGAATAGTTTCTGTTCCCTCAGTCTGGCATTTTTTCTTTGAGTGATTTTGAGCTAGTAATCTTACAGTTTTGTTGCATTTTGTGCTTTTCCCAGCAGATAACTTATTTGTTTTTCTTGGAAGAATTTGGGCTCCATATGCAAACATGCTTTCTTTAGATTACTTTGTGATCCTTAAAATGAAAATACATTTCTTAACTGTAGAGCATCAACGTGTTTGCTTGTAGCTTCTGCTGTTAAGTTTCCAAGGTTTTCAGAGAGAAGAAGCAAAAAAAAGCAAATTCATATGTAATTTTGACTAAGATGTGAAAACACTGAACTCAAGCAGGTAGATATCAAAGTTTGTGGGCTCTGTTGTCATTATTGTTATCCAAATGTATCAAGACTGTTTTTTGACCTCACTTAAGTGTATTTATACATATAGGAATTGGAAGCCATTAAAATGTAAAGCTAAAGCTAATATAAAGTTAACATTTAAGTTGGACAGGAGCTATATTTGTAAGTCGTTTTAGTGCTGTAATCTAGATGTGTTACGAAAACATTGACCAGTGAGGGCTCCTGGGTACTTGTAAAGGTGCAAATAGAAAAGAATCGCAGTTGCGGAAAGCTCAGTTGATCGGGGCTTTTTTAGTTGGTGTAATGGGGAAGAAAGTGGGTGATTCATGTGTGACACAGAAGGTGGCACTTGTTCCCTGTTCCTCGGGCGATAAGACAAGGCAAAGTGTGTTATGTTTAACTTACTGGACTGGAAGGTGCTTAGGCAGATGTGAGTAGGGAGGTGCATAGGGACATTCTGGCAGGACAGTTGTTCCTTTGGCTCTTCTAACATCTTTATTAAAGATGAAATTGTTTTGACCTATT